TAAAATAGAAGTCAGAGGTGTTATTTTAGGACAAGTGCAGAAATTTAAGTATCTAAGAGAGATTTAAGTATCCAGGCACATGAATAACAATTGACGGATGAAGTATCACAGAGTTAAAAAAAATGCACACAGAATATGACATGCCAAACCTGCATTTTATAAAATAAAGAACACATTATGCAATTAATCCATAATAGTAGCATGCTGTATATAGCCAGTGTCGACAAATGGCTGTGAACAATGGACAGTTAAGAAACAAGCCACAGTTTCGTGCAGCCTCGGAGATGTGGTTTTACAGAATAATCCGTCAATTCCTTGTACAACCAGAATAGAATAACCCATATGTTTGGAAAAAGGAGAGTAATTAATAACAACTCAATCACAAACATCAGAAAGAGACATTATTATTTAGGAGAATACGGAATTTGGAACATGTGAACATCGGAAGATGTGTGGAAGGAGAGAAAAATGAATGATTCGTGGAAAGATTCTTGACCGCCTTGTGTCGTGTAGAAAATGAAGAGATCTCACGAATCGGCTAGAATTGAAAGGACAGTACCCAAGAATATCAACCAAATTTGCACCATCAGTATATGCGGAGTTAAGACCAAAGTACTAAGCCATCATCGAAGAAATGAGAGAGCGCAAAATAGCAATATTAGGACTAGCAGACACATACACTAATAAACTAAGTTGTAAGAAAGTGGATCTGAACTGAACTGACTTTCTACCCCACCAGGACATCACACAAGCGATAAAAACCCGATGACACAAAGTGCCACCATGTTTATGAGGATCGCCGTGTAGAGGTCCCAGAAACTGCGTTCAGACAATTGGCCATATTTATGGCCTGCCTATATTGCGGCCCCTGGCAAAAGCCAGAGTGGGGCTTCAAATAAAAAAAAATTCGTCCTAAAAAGCACGAAACTGGATAACTCTACTGAAATTTAAGTGGATCTAGACTTGGTGTTCATTTATTTAGGATCAGACCTGACAAAGGGGCAAAACTCGTAGTTGGATTCATGTTAGACCTCATGTTCGCTAAGAGAATTATAACACCGAATACATATCAGAAAGAATCGTAACACTTACGACCAGCGACAACGGAATAAATGCAATGTATGTTCAAATATATTCCCCATGCAACGCAACTAAAAGTGATGAAGAAAGCAAAGAATTTCTCGACACACTCAATGATAAAATAAACAAGATCAAGAAAAAAGGAAAAAAGGAAATGTCATTATCATGTGTGATTTTAATTCAAGATTAGGAAACTGGAAGGGAGCAGAAGAATACATCGGAAAATTCGAAGACAACAACAGTAAGGAAAACGAGAATGGTTGCAGTTCCTTGAGTTATGTTGTTCCTTGAGTTATGTTGTTCCTTGTGTATGTTGTTCCTTGAGTTATGTTGTTCCTCGAGTTATGTAATCAGCAGGATTTATTCATAACTAACATGTGTTTTCGAATACCAGCAGTCTCACATATAAGCGTGGTAAAAATTGAACTATTTGAACTGTAAAAGTCAAATAGACTATACTTACCAAGAGAAACAGGAGAAGAAGAGAAGTCGACGCAAGAGCAATCCCAAGTCTTTGTACAGACACCGATCACAAGGCGGGCATGCTGACCACGAGGATAAACAGTGCGAGGGATACTAGAGGACTACATTCAACCCCCCTTCCCCCCCCCCCCCCAAAAAAAAAAAACATAAAACTAATAACTTAAAGAATGTTAACACCCAAGAAGCATAACTTCAAAAATTTACTGAAAGTTATACTAGGCTATCCAAAGAAACTAAATCAATAGAGAAGGAATGGGAAATGTTTAAAAGATCAATTTTAGAAGCAACATGAGAAACATGCGGAATGGTAAAGAAGAGAAGCACAAGACTACAAATAACACCCTGGTGAAGCGAGGAAGTAAAAACAGCAGTGAAGGAGAAGAAATGTAAATACAAGGCGTGTTCGGAAAGTAACAATCAAGATGATCTTAAGGAAAACAGGACTTGAACATCGATAGCCAGAGATGTCAGAAACGCCAAAGGAACATCATGGCAGAAATACAGAAATGCTAAACGCTGACCAAAAAAGTGCTACGAAACAACTTGTATAAGCAAATTAAAGTTATGAGAGTTAGGAACAAGCAATTTGACTCAACAGAAATTATAAATGACAAAATGTGAGTACCCCTAAACGAACCACAAAAGGTTCTGGAGAGATGGCGTCAACATTTCAACGATCTATTAAATTTACAATTACAGGAACAATCCACAACTCAAGAAACCAATAGCCACATAAAAGAACATTTATAACCAAGCATAACACTCGAAGAAATCAGAAAAGATGTAAAAGAGGCACCTTCCAGCAAAGCACCAGACCCTGACGATTTACCTGCTCAACTACTCAAAGTAACAGAGGAGGTAGGCTTAAAATGGATGCACGGACTGTTCCACCTAGTCTGTACAACACAAGAGACACCCTAGGAGTGGAGAAACGCAATAATAGTTCATATCTGGGAAGAAGAAAGGCAACAAGAGAAACTGTGATAAGTATACAGGAGTTTCATTATTGAGCCATACCAGGAAAATATTTCGTAAAATCCTTGAAGAAATGGATACCCCCTATCATTGAACCACAATTTAGTGAAAGGCAAATGAAAAGCAAACGTTGTACTGATGCAGTATTCATACTAAGACAACTAGTGGAAAGGACGGTAGAATTCGATAAAGAATTGCACGTCGCATTTGTAGACCAAGAGAAAGCTTTCGATCGAGTTAACCAGGAATAAATTATGGAAGCCCATACAGGATTACGGAGTAAACGAACACCTTATTAAATTGTGCAAGAGTTCATTCGTTAACAGTCAATGCGCAGTTAGAACAAATACAAGAATATTGGACAAGTTCTACCTTAGATCTGGAGTGAAACAGGGATACGTTCTATAACCACTACTGTTCATCACATACGTATTTCAAATTTGCAAATCAGCTAACACTAGCGAAGGGGACATCAAAGCATTCAAAGCATTACTAAATGAAGCATTACTAAATGAATTTCTTTCCTACGATGACAGGCAATCATAGCACCAACAGCAGTACAATTCCAAGTATATATTAATATACTCCACTCAGAATGCGACAACTGTGATATGAAGATCAACGTGAATAAAACAGAAGTGATGATATTCTTCAGAAAAGGAAAAACCACCAAAATCAAAATTTATGAACACCATTTAAAGCAAACAAAGGATTTTACACATCTGGGAAGTATTTTTTTTTTCTTTCTCCAGAAGATAGAAGAATTAATAAAGAAATCCAACAAAAATGCAATAAAGCAAATCAATTTATTGTCCCAATGGCACCAATTTTAAAATGTAAGCAAGTGAAAATGAATACTTAAAGAACATTGTTCGAAACAATATTCTAACCAACGCTATTATATCAATGCCAAACATGGACACTGTATTCAAAAAACAAAAGTAAAATACTCAGGACAGAGATAAAATGTTTAAGTACTATGCTGGGTGTAACGAGGAAAGATCGACTTAGAAACGACGTTATCAGGAGCAGAGTGGGCACAGAACCAGTACTGAACTTTACAGGTAGACAACATGGCACAGAACCAGTACTGAATTTTACAGGTAGACAACAAGGCACAGAACCAGTACTGGACTTTACAGGTAGACAACAAGGCACAGAAGCAGTACGGAACTTCACATGTAGACAACAAGGCACTGAACCAGTACTGAACTTTACAGGTAGACAACAAGGCACAGAACCAGTACTGAACTTTACAGGTAGACAACAAGGCACAGAACCAGTACTGAACTTTACAGGTAGACAACAAGGCACAGAACCAGTACTGAACTTTACAGGTAGACAACAAGGCACTGAACCAGTACTGAACTTTACAGGTAGACAACAAGGCACAGAACCAGTACTGAACTTTACAGGTAGACAACAAGGCACAGAACCAGTACTGAACTGTATAGGTAGACAAGGCACAGAATCAGTAGTGATCTTTATAGGTAGATAACAAGACTGGCATCAGATAGGGCACCCCAGAGAACAATGTTATACAGGTACAGCGGTAACAGAATCAGAGATCGACCACGCAGAATATGGACGGTTGAAATATCAGAGACACTGAAAAGTAAGTTTAACAAAGTGAAGCATTTAACGCCGCGAGGCATTTAAGAAGTAGAGAAAAGAAGGAAGAAGAAGAAGCTCATGATCTGTGCTAGAGCGTTCATAATAGCCATACTGCCCACCAGATGATCTGCAAATTCATTTTTTTGAACACCTGAACCCCCGTATCACCTGATATAAAGATTAATAGTTAGACTAGCCATTCGTGGTGTATTTAATGATGAAGCCGCCCTAGAACTGAGTATATGCCATTGAAACAGCATCGTTTTCTTCAAGTGAGACTGTTGTATGACGTAAGAACTGGGCTGGATTTAGACTTGATGAGCCCATAAAGTTCTCTCCTATCGGTGACCGAGTGACCTATTGACTGACTACTGAGCGACTTTGTCGCCGGTCGGGGAAGTTATTGAAGTCATCGTATCAATACAGAGAAAGAGTCCTTTTCATTGTTATTGGGTGGCGACCAGTTTGAAGTCATTATTTTAGTGCAAATAAAGAAAGACCACACAATAAGCTAAAGCTTTCCCTTGTGGTAAAGCTGGTTAAACGTGGTTTTTTTTTAAAAAATTATCAACAGGCAGTGCCGTTTACCAGCTAATCTAAGAAAATTGTAAAAATATAAACGCTTTTTAAATATGTGGATAATTAAAATGCACTCAAGTTTATGTTTTTTTTATATGAAATAACAAAGAATGTGTTTTGCATAATCACAAGTATTATATTGAAAATCACCTAAACGGATCTAATTTACAGCTTTAAACATATCTTCTTGATTTCCCACAAAATCCTTGATTATGTCACTAAAAGAAATACCATCTTTTCTCATTGTGTGCTACCAGACCGTAGAAAAAATGGCAAGCGCAGACCTGACCTGGCTGATCTTTAGAAACAACTCTTCTACACTTCTGAAGAGGAGTAGACAGTACATGAGTCTGGAACCCAACAACTTGAAGGGTTACAACTCTTTCCGCTACAATGGACTGATTCACCGCAAGACAGTTGGCATTGAGCCAGTTAAGGATGGCAAGGGTGTCGTCTTGGTGACTCGTAAAAGCAAGGGTCTTCGCAAACCCGAAAATAATCTGACTCGCGTGGAGCTAAAGAAAGGCTCACGCAGCACTATTGCCACAATACGCAGAACTCTGAGGTACAAAAACTACCGCAAGGATTTGATCAATGCGGCCGTTAGACGCACATGTGCTATCATCCAGAGCCAGAAGCCCGTAGTTATCAAGAGCAAAGCCCGAACTGCCAAAAAGGACTAGGTCCATTATGGTTGTAAATTAAAATACATTCAGATTAAACTTTGAACTCAAAAAAAAAAAAAAAAAAAAAAAGAAATGCCATGTAACAAATTTGAGTTTTTGTAAGCCCCTACAGATTGTGCAGCCCTATGCTGTAGCTTATTTATCTCCTGACTAAGCCCAGCACTGCCTAGGTAGCAATAAGTGACATGTCAACGGTATGAGGACTCCTTAAAAAAAGGCGGGAAGGGGGTGGGGGGCAAGTATGGGAATGATCTGAGGGCAATGATGTCTGTTCTTGATTAATTCATTCCTTCAGTCATTCATTTCAGAGTCCGTAAGTCCGTCGAGAAGCGCTTTCTATTTACTTTGAGTATACAAACAAATACGGGGTTTAACTATCGACACAGCTGAAGTTAGTTATCTCCCTCCCCATGTGAAAAAATTGTATCGTTATTTTGTAACCCCACCCTTGTTGATGGGTGCCCTAATATGACCTGACAAAATAATAGGGTTTCTAGGACCTCTCCACGAGTGATCCTCACCTGAGTGGTGGCACTTTGTGTCACCGGGTGATGTCCTAGTGGGGTAAACAGTCAGTCAGTCAACACAGTTTCGGTCAACACAGTTTCAACTAAAAATCTTAGAGTTACGGCCCTTGGCTGACTGACTTTCTTTCCCACCAGGACATCACACAAGCGATAAACACCCGACGACACAATGTGCCACCATGTGGATGAGGATCACCGTGGAGAGGTCCCAGAAACCGTGTTCAGCCAATTGGCCATATTTATGGCCTGGCTATATTGCGGCCCCTGGCAAGAGCCAGAGTAGGGCTTCAAACAACAAAAAATGTCGTCCTGAAAAGGACAGCAGTATACAGTGACGGCCCATGGCGCTCTCTGTCTACCTATTTTGGGCCGCACCTGTTTTCCTATGGCAAGACACAAACATAGTTTTTGCATGCCCTTTTGGGGCTATTTATAAATAAAGTCAGCCGTGGGTTTGTGTTTGATTTACTTAATGTACTGATGAAGGCGCTGTAGCCGCAACATTTACTTTCCGTTTGTGTTCATCATATTGTAAAGCACGCTGATCTACTTTTCGTTCGGTTTTCATATCTTTGCATCATTGTTATCTAAATGGTTGCCCTTGGTAGAACGAAGCGGAAGAACGGACTGGCAAGCCTACGTGACATATAAACGGCAGAACAAGAGAATAATGATATCGTTTAGTTCATCTTTTAGATGAACACGTTGCAGTGCATGTATAAATATTTTTTACATTACTATTACATTAATATTTGTATGCACATAACAAACTCTTGTATGTCCTGGCAAACTTCTTGGACATAGTGACGTAAACCAAGAAGTTAGCAGACGAATTGATGGCGTAGAGAATGGCGCAGAAGTTGTCAATGAGTTTGTGAAGTGTCGATGTAAAGATAAAGTTTGGAACAAAATAGGAGAACAAGCCCACGTTGGGGATGGTCACCACCAGAAACACCACACATATGGTCACCAGCATCCGGACTACCCTGACGTCATACCCAGATGACCTTAAGGTCATAGTTTCTCGTTTGACAGCCGCTTGGTGAAGTTTGATACCTATGGCTATACAACACACGGACGTGATTACGATACTTGACACGCAGAAAAAGTAGTTTAGTCCAACCCAGGCGTAATAATCCAGGAAGTCCTTATGATCAAGATAAAATTTAGTGTATCTAACGACAGCTAGTGTTTGGTCAAGATCGGCATAAAATATCCAAGAAAATGTCAATGCTAGAAATGTTGGAATTAAAGCCACTATGGCAACATTTGGCACAGACACAACTATCGTTTTCACTAGCGCTCTATTGAAGATTCTGGAGACTTTGAAGGGGAAGAAAACAGCAACAAGTCTTTCAACGGCAATTACTGTTACATAGCAAAGACTGGTGGCGTAGCACACATACTTGGGCATAAGCAAATACACAGTCACAAACGTGTTTAGAGTTACTGCAAATCCCGGATCAAATTGACTAACAATACATTTTAACCTTGTCATCGGTAGTATAATACAAAACAGCAAATCTGACGCAGCAAGAGCCACCAGAATAATATTGGTGGTTTCCTGAAATCCATGTTTACAAAGGACCAAGATGTTGATAGAATTCCCTACGATCCCAAACACACAAATTAAGTTGATTACGATACAGTTTGTTAAGATTTCCAGAATATAGAAAATGTAATGGTTTGCTGATGTGGTAATGTTGGCATATTTAGTACAGTCACATGTAAGAAAGTCAGTCTCGTTAGCGGACGCTGTCATTGCAATCAACAATCTGCCACTGAAACGCCTGTTAAGAATGATTTCATCAGCGAAATTGTGAAATTTACTGTTAAACTGCACAGAAACTGTGCGACTATCATAAAGGCAGATGTTAAAATGGTAAGTTTAATTCCACATACGTTGTTAAAAATGCATGTAAATATGTAAAGATTTAATACATAGAACGAATAGATTGTAACATCATTATTTTATGTCTAGGATGCGTAGTCGGGAGTTTATTGTCTACACAGATTATTATATGGAGATCAGTATTACAATTGTTCCTAATTTTCCTCCCATTTTTGGGGAAGTTATTTTGAAGCCCTTCCTTGGCTGTCGTTAGTTAGTTAGTTAGTCTTTCCTCTTGTGTCAAGTGCGGCACATAGGGCAGAGGTCGCGACTCTCCATGCACGGCGGTCCGTTGCAATCCGTTGTAGGTCTTGGATGTTTGAGTGGCCCATGAGCGAGCCTTCCCTGATGATAGTTCTACGTAGGGTTTCCCTTGGTCTTCCACGAGATCTTTTCCCCTGTGGTGTCCAAATGAGGGCTTGGTAAGGAAGTCTTGATTTATCCATTCTAAGGACGTGGCCGACATAGTTCCAGCGGCGTTTTCGTATAAAATTAGACACATACTCTTGCCTGGATTCTTGCCTTATTTGTATATTGGTTCGGAAATCTGACCATTTGAAATTTAGTATTCTTCTAAGGCATTTATTTTCAAAACTGTCTAATTTTGTGTCTAGAGTTTTCGTTGATTTCCAACTCTCGCATCCATAGGTTAGTACTGGAATCACACAAGAATTGAAGATCTTGGCTGTCGTAGGGAGCCCTAAATATGATCTAACGGTACAACGTGGTTTCTGGGATTTGTGCCCCGGTGATTGTCATCCGAATGGTGGCAAATTGTGTCACTGGGTGCTTAACGTTCATTTTGCGGTCCTGGTGGGGTTGTACATCACTCACTCAGTCAGATAAGTAGCAGTTGGCAAATCAGTACAAAAATACACAAGAATGTGCAGTTTATATCGAATGGACAAATATCTAGAAAACATGAAGTGCTTATTGTGCATATAATGATTATCCAAACCAGTGGGTTGCGACCCTTATGTGGGTCAAACAACCTTTTCACAAGGATTACCTAAGACTAACGGAAAACACATATTGATAAAAGTTATGAAGTAGCAATGAAAATAACTTATGGTAGGGGGTCGACACAACATGTGGAACTAACTGTACTTAAGGGTCGCGGCATTAGGAAGATTTAAAACCACTGATCTAAACGGATGCTCCTAAGCTAATCTTTTTCAGCAGCCCTGATCACATTGGTGTCTGTCGCTGCTCTAAAATCTTGCTCAGGTGGAAAATCGCATAATTGTAGTTTAGATGTACTTAGCGCAACCCAACCCAACCCAAAATGAATCAATATTCTTTCACCTGTGTCGCTAACATTCATATCTTGGATATCGTTCGTATTTTGTGTCAATTGTCGTGCAGGTCGACCCATGTCTAGCCTTCAAGGAAGCACATATCCCGTTGTTCTCTCTCTCTCTCTCTCTCTCTCTCTCTCTCTCTCTCTCTCTCTCTCTCGCTCGCTCTCTCCCCCTCTCTGTTTTTTTAAACCTTTAATATGGCCGACTTTTTTTTGGAGGAATGTTACTGTCTTTGAGCCAATTCACCATAATATTTAGATTATAAAAAATGTCATCATGGTTCCCCTTCAAACAACATTGTATATATTTTTATTTCAGGTTTGTATTTGTGCGTCCTTTGTGTAAATAATGAACATATGATTTATTTGTTAGGATTGTTAATCTCTCTAATTAACACACGGAAATCAGCTAAAACTGAAAGAGACAAAACATGTCTCATCCAGTCTGAGGTAAATTTAAAGAAGATACTGCACGCAATGAAAGCAGTTTATGGTCGGTATAAATACATTTATTTCCGTCCCAATCTCAAAGTAACTCAACATTAACAGGCGCCTTAATGATCAGGTTTACCTGAACTATAAATAATTGAATATGAAGAACAGTCCAAAAAGCTATAATCATAATGTCATTGTCAACCAATGCTTGGCAAAATGACACTTGTCAGCAAGTCAGCAATAATATTTAAAATGCAGATACATTCATGCAAAGGGAAGCTACATCGGCTTGTTAACTGTTAGCACTGAACATGGGTTGTATCCCCTATATTGATAGATCGTGACTCTCGGCAGGCCCTACTGACGGCCCCGGACAGATATTACAGTATTTGTCATTAGTATTACTCACAGATTAATAATATCTTTCCTTCGATGCCACCATTCCATTCAAAGATTTGTGTTGGTAAATAACACACTGCATCCCCAACCACTGGAAAACTAGATCGATGTAGAAACCTTGTGAAAGTTGTATTTTTTTTGGTGTCACGGCTCCTTTGTCGTCGTTGTGTTAGTGCTCTTGTTTCGTTTACGTTATCTTTTGTGGCTCAGTGATAAAACCGTTGGCTTTACGCTTAGAATGTCGTGGGTTGAATCCTGGACTTGTTAATGTGTGCAGGTGACTCAGATATCCCCGAGGGAGTCACTGAAATAAAAGTTTCGTATTTTGTGCGATGTTCTCGACAAATAAAAAGCCTGTTTCGTATTTTGCGCCATGTTCTCGACAAATAAAAAGCCTATCTGCATAGAGAACGAATGAGCGAACGAACTTTCTTTTCAAAGGATCACAAATTGAGGAAGCTGGCCAATCTTCCATATATACACAAATGCCCATACATACAAAAGTGTCCTAACATACATAAATGCAGACGTTCACACACCCATACATTCATACATACACACAATCATGCATTCACAAACACGCCTACACACACACGTACTTATACATACATATCACACATACACAGATACATACATATCATGCACACCTTATCTAATTATGATCTGATAATGCATTATTGAATCTTGACTACACTTGAGATGGCATATAATTACTGCCAAGCATAAAATAAAAAAGTTTGCGTTTAAGTGAGCAGGAACTACTTGTATTTTTCTGATCGAATGGAATTTAAGATGGTTCCTTAAAGGAGCAGCTGAATATGCTAAACTTATATTATATTATCATCATGTAGCAGGTCCTTTGCAGAACGTCGCTCTCATCACGGCCTGATAGAAAGTCGGTCTCTCACCAGCTCTTCCGCCTCATGCACTTTCATACTCAAGGAGTCACTTGTATCCTATGCCCATCTTCGTGTTGGTCGGCTCCCCCCCCCCCCCCCCCCCCCTTTTTTTTTCTGGTACCATGCCTTCTGCTATAATTTTTGTCCAATCCGACGTGGCGCTTAAAATGACAAAAATATTTCAGCTTCCGAGACAGGATGCTGTCTATTAGCCAATCTTCCGTGATGTTCAGATTTTTCAAGATGTCAGTATAAATTAAAAATTTAATTTTATATAGGTTTGGCAAATGTTATAGACTAAGTCGTTTGCTGTTTGTAGGATTTGATTGAATCAGCCAGAAAAAGGAATTTAGAGTATTTTGAGATTAAATTTGAATACATTTTGACTTGTTAAAAATTAAATGTTACCAAATGGCAGAAATCTTAGATGACTCGATATGTTTTCTATCTGAAATCAGGCGTAAAGTGCGATTTTGACTGGCAGCGTAAGTCTTTTGATTTGGCGCAACCATCACAAACTGAGGAGCAATAGTCGATAAGTGTTTGGCTGCAGGATGCATATCATATTTTTCGTGTATCTTTCTCCAGAAAATGCTCAGTTTTGGCAAGCTATTAAACTTATTGTGCCATTTTCTTGGTTATAACACAAACATGGTAGCATTTCATACGCTTCTGATGAATATCGCATCACTGTTTCATTAAATGATAAAAAAGGTAAAGTCGGGAGATGTGAACTAGCGTCATTGCACACGGTTATAAACCATAAGTGATCTGTCACCACTACGGACAGCTGATAAGAAACTGTCCGCCTGTGTCGCTGTGTCGCCGCTCCTATCATTAAATTATAACAAGAATCTAGTTTGGAGACGACCAGGTGAGCGATTTACGTTTGACACAATTCGAGAGGTGGATCGTTATGGTAGGGATTCTGCCATGGGGAAGCTTCTAGGGCCACGACATGACCCCACTCTAGAGCATCCAAGGTTTCTTGACCGACCCAAGATAAGAAATCTTGTTTAGCCTGCTCTGGTGGACATAAGTGGTTATGTCATCTTTCAAGATGATAACACTCGACCATATCACACTCGTATGATGAATTACTTTATTCAGGAACATGATAAGGGATGGTGTGGCCAGCTCATTTACCTGACTTTTCTCCGACTGAACATCTCCGGGATTTCTTTGTTTGAAGATTTTCAACACATCAGCCGCTGCCAATGTTTGCTTCACAGCCGACTGCTTTTCTGCTTCTAGAATGACAAGCCGCGTCTCACGATAGTTCACCCCCTCATGGACTCGATGTGTCTACGCTGACGTGAATACATTGCTGCAAACGATGGTCACACCCAATTTTAAAATGTCTGGTTATCAAATGTCTGTTGTGTGACTTTAAAAAAAAAAAGGGGGGGGGGGGGGTGTATTACAATTCACTGTTTTGTTGCGTTTGAATGTGTTTCCATTTCTTTATGTGACACGTCAGGCTGGTATTTAATAAATTCCGTTTTTTATTTATAGTACTTACATTTATATCAGACTTGTTGTATGCTTTCAAACAAGGTTTTTATTTTTATTTTAGTTTGTTGTTAAAAATTAAATGTTACTAAATGGCAGAAATATTAGACGACTATAGAGATGATTTAGTTACAATATCTAAAGTTGCATGACATATGGCGTTCGTCAATGGCGTTCTAAATACAGGACATTCATGTATGCAAAGCATATTTTTCTTCCCCTCCCCGTCTTACTCTTTTTTTGCACACCATCTCTCTCTCTCTCTCTCTCTCTCTCTCTCTCTCTCTCTCTCTCTCCCTCTCTCTTACTAAATGCGATAGTTGATG